CGAGCCAATCCATCCCTAGGATCGCATCAAACTCTAACATACTTAGAGGTACGAAATCACAAGTCAAGGGTTGACCCGTCACTTCTACCTCACACGATTCATAATAGTGGTCCCTTTCCACATCATCTCCTAACGGTGTGGAGACTAACAAGGTCTGAGTCATCGGCGTCAATGGCACGTCAAGACCTTCGGCAAACGCTTCGCTCACGAAAGAACGTTGTGCCCCGGTATCAATGAGAATTTTTGTGTTTCTTCCATTGATCAAGAATGTTCCTACATTTACAGATGATGTAAGACACCCTACTCGAAGTACCGAATCAGAAACGGGCTAAAAAAAATTGTTTTTCCAAATTGGATTGGACCGGCGCCGGTTCTGGGCCTAACCGGCGCTGGTTGGGACGTTTTTTTTGTCGGAAATGGGGTGCGCACGCGTGCGTCCCTTCCCACGCACGCGTGCGTGGGTGGCAGTAGGGTAGAAGAGTGTTTTAACGCAACGAACGGCGCCGGTTGGCTCAAAACGGGGGATGCACGCGTGCGTCCCTTCTCATGCACGCGTGCGTGGTTACCAGTAGCATTTTGGACGCTACGGCCGGCGCCGGTTGGCTGGGGAACGGCGCCGGTTGGGCCCTGGGCACCCCCTTCCCCTTTTTCTTGCTCCTTTTACTTAGAAACTGACCGGTAAAGTCACCGGCCGGCCCGTACAACCCCGCTATCACTTTTAACACATTAATACATGTATTTTATCAAGCATTAACAAGGGATTACCTGAAACATTGTCGGGGTTGGCCCGAGCATCGGCCTCGGTCATCGCGTAGACCCTTGCTTGGGCCCCGCCTTGGTTAACGGACGTGGCGTTGCTCGTTGACGCACCGCCTCTTCCTGTGCCACCGTGTGACGGTCCTGCACGGTTCCTCCCCGTCATGGCCCCTCCTCCGGCTCCCGATGCATTTCCTTGTGTCAATTGAGGGCAATTGGCCTTCATATGGCCCACATTCCCGCACTTGAAACACCTCGGTGGTTCATTGCACTTCCCAAAGTGTTGTTTGGTGCAATTAAGGCATCTAGGTGCCCCCGAATTCTGTGGCCTAGGTCCGTGCCACCTTGCATCTTTATTCTTCTTTGCCGGTGGCGCTGGGGGTCTAAATGAACCACCACCACCGTGGTTGTTCTTCCGCGATTGATCGGGTTGCCCCGGATTGCTCCATTTCCTCTTCTTCGCCTCCTCGGCGTCTCTTGCCTTTCTCTCATTCCATTGGGTTTCCCCAAGAAGACCCTGCTCTACCACCTCACTAAAGGTCATGTGACGTGAGTATGTGGCCCGATCACGGATGTCCAACAACAAAGCATCCCAAAAGTGTTCGGTCATGCGGTCCTCATCGACCGCATACTCCGGTAAGAATCTAGCCAAGGTTCTAAACTCTTGCTCCAATTGTTTAACTGTGGTACCTTCCTTTTGCTTGAGATTTGTGTATTCCCTACGCTTCACATTTACCTCGTAGTCGGAGTAGTATTGAGCGTAGAAATTTTGCTCAAAATTTTCCCATGAGACTGTCCCGCGGTACTTTCCTTCTACACCTTCCCACCATGTAGAAGCCATTCCTTCAAGCAAGCGTGAAGCAATAGTCAACTTCACGTCGGGAGTGATTTGCATGTCTCTTGCGGCATCCTTAACCTTCTTTATCCAATCAGCGGCAAGAGTGATGTCTCCGGTGCCGTCAAAGGATTTGCACCCCAAAGCCCTTGCTTCTTTGAGGTACTTGGAGATTCTAACACAGAAATCTCCACCGTGCCCACCTTGGGACACCCCTGCAGCGGCCCTTGAAGCCCCCCGGCTTCCTTGACCCGAACCTCCTTGAGAGCCATGCCTCGCTTGGCGCCTAAGGTCCCTTCTTTGTTTCTCCCTTTGATACCACTCAAGCAATTCCCCCATTTGAGCAAATCGGGCATCGCTCTCATCATTGTGTTCATCATCGGTGTGGAAATCACCCCCGTCATATGGGGTCTCCTCATGTCCCGTCTCGGGAACATAAGTTGAGTCATGGTTCTCGGTGTTAGTTTCATACACCGAACTCACATGACCCTCGCTCACAGTTTGGACACGATGGCCCCACGACCTCCACGGCCTCCACGGCCTCCTCTTCGACCTCTTGAGCCTCGAGATGCGGCCCGGCTAGCTCCAATAGAAGCTACCGGTGTTTGCCCCCCCCCCCCCGGATTGTTTCTTGTCGTCATACGTCTACCTTCCATTTCTGAAAAGGAATTGGAACGAGTCATTAGACTCCAATCAATGTCAACTGACGGAAAACGTTATAGACACGTATTGGCCTAAGTCACCGTCATACCAATTGTTAAGGGTACCATCTTAACAACTAGAGACCTTGCAACGTAGGTAACAATAGTCCTATAAACGTCAAAATACAATGCTCATGGTTTTCGGTGAAAATCTTTTTGTAAAATCTCATGTGAGAGGTTGAATACATAGTTTAGAACTGAGATGACTCTCATACCACTTAATTATCACGCCCCAGACCGCATCTGAGCGTGTGTACAACCGCCGTGTGATTAAGTGACGTCACTCGCAAGTCAACCTCACATAATCACACAAGGCGTTCATGAACATCGTTCACACCATACTCAGTAGTAAACATGCATAACAACATCACATCATAGATTGAATAAATAGCGGAAAATATTCAACGGCCAATCATAAGCCACATATGGCAAAATGTAGGCTCGCAGGCCAAAACAATGTAATATTACAAAAGTATCCGTGAGCATAGTTTATGATGTAAAATAATAAAGGAAGCACGAACCACGTCTTTCTCTAGATTCTTTCCACCTGTGCAAAGGTGTAGACAACAGGCCCTAGCTTCAACCTGAAATGGTGGAGCCCCCCGAAGGGGTCAGTACAAGTACCGAGCGAGTAGCAAGCTAAATGTAGAGTAACTAACGTTTCAAGTATAAGACCCAAACATAGGGTGATACATATAGTTATACTTCTTTACCCCAAGTTACAAAATACATATCGGTGCTTATATACACTTGAAAATACCCGACCCGTAGGTCATTGTTTAATTGGGAAAGTAGTAGTAGTCAGTGTCCTTGATTTAAAAACCTCAACCCACCCATAGACCTATGAGTGTATAGGACTCCTCCTGTCCAAACAAATAATCATAAGGACATCGCCCGGTCCTGAATTACTAAACAGTAATCTATGAGTTTTGAGAATACACGCCCGATCCTTGGGTACTCCACCCTATATAACCGAGTTTTGAGGATACCGCCCGATCCTTGGGTACTCCACCCTATACAACCGAGTTTTGAGGATACCGCCCGATCCTTGGGTACTCCACCCTATATAACCGAGTTTTGAGGATACCGCCCGATCCTTGGATACTCCACCCGTCCTATGATCTACCACATATCATACTAGATAGGGCCTATATCATAATCAATAAACAAGACTAGACCAAGTCTTAAGGCCTAAGCAAAATTATCCATGCAATTCATGCATTAAAATTATTAAATAGGTAAAGTAAGGCCAAACTGGCGCCGGTCAACTCTCGGTTGACCCGCCGTTCAAATCCAATTTGTGTCAAACTTAGTCACATCATGTACTAAGTTATAAATAACCATTTTATGCACATTTCATCTCTGAACATATCACATATGTTTTTATAGGCATTTCACTTCATAAATCATGCATATTTCAATAGTTCACTTCATACAAGCCTAATCACTTTAATTGGCTAATCACATGTTTAATTGATTTAAACATTATTTTGAACACACATAACATTTACTTAGGAAATCTCATGCTTAACCCAAAAGTTACGAGACATTAAGCCATCCACTCACCTCAAATGAGCTTTAAAAAGATTCTACACTTCTTAGTCGAACTTCGGTGAAATTCCGACGAACTCCGGCGAAACTCCGACGAACTCCGACGAAACTCCGGCGAACTCTAGAAACACTTTAGTCAAGCTCCTAATATGGTTTTATCATCACAAAACTCATATCAATACAAATAACCTCCAAAAGGTTATTTTCCGGCGAACCGGTCATATTGGCTTCTAAGTCCGTTCTTGGACTTAGAACTACCTTCCAACCCCTCATTCTACACCTCTAAACATGTAGAAAAAATTCTAGGGGTCTTCCATATGATATATAATTCATATGATAAGTAAAAAGTAAGGGAAAAGTTATTATAAGGTGAATACCTTAATTATCCAAGTTTTCCTCACTTTTTCCTACTTAATCCCCCTTCTTTTGAACCACCTTTGCTTGAGCTTGTTCTTGGATATGGAGGATGATAGATGGAGGGTTCTTGCTGCTGATTGGGGTGGGTTGGACGAACTGATCAAGGGAAGAGGGTGGGAGTGTCCTTTTTGTCTCAATAGCATGTGTGGTGTGGGTGGAAAGGCCCACCCCTATTTTATTTAGATGCTCTTCATCTCAACCACTCCCCTCCCATAATGCAGCCCCTCTTTGTCAACCTTGAGCACAAAAAAACGTGGGGTGGCCCCCACTCATGTGGGAGGTCATCCCAACTTGTCCCGAAATGTAGATTCGGCCCCGGAAGTTGTATTTCTCGGACTGTTTTAATTATACTTTATTTTATCGGGTCAAATAAAATATACTGTGTGATTTCAATCACTATGGACCCTTAGAATAATTATTAATCCCCCATCTTTAATTTAGAAGTCTCCGAAATTCATTTCGGGCTGATATCCGATAAATTACCAATACCGGTAATTGGGCCTCGTTTGACCAACGGGTCAACCCTATGCCCTTACTATGGCCCAACTAAAATATGTACCATCATATAAATATTATCTAGACCAAGATGAATATAATATGTGGTCCGGGGGTTATCGGGTGGTCCCCGCTCCCGATGTGGGCCCCGCGTGCGATTCACTATTCACGCAAAGTAATCAACAAAATTTACAACCTCTTAAATTCATAAATCATTATTAAGCAGCTTAGAATCCTATGCCCTTCCAGGATGTGACGCAGGGCTTCCTTAGAATCCATTTCCACTACAAAATTTGAGTAGCCTTCATTGATAGCCCACATAGTAGCACGAACCGCCACCAGCAGCTCCGCCTCGAGACTGGACGAAGCATGCACTGGGAAGTAGGTAGCTAGGATCATCACGACGTCGCTATTTCTAAGAATTGCTCCCCCCGTCGCCCCTTGAGGTACAAAGCTAGCATCTGTGTTTAATTTTAGTTCCTGCTTTGGCTTATTCCATCTAATGGCTAGAATCGGTGGCCGATTTGGCTTATAGGATCGGGTTATTATCCCTTCTTCAAATAAGAATTCATCAACCTTGCCAAGTTTCATAGTAGAAATACTGGAGATCCAGCTTTGAGTGTATGTTTTAATCTGGGCTATAAGACCTTCAGCAGTGACTGATGTAACCTCTGAGACCCATATTCGCATACGTCTTCGAGATATGCCAACATATAACACTTGGGAGGTTTTTGAAAATGTCAGCTTTGAAAACGTCAGGTAGTCTTTTTGACCCTGCCTTTAGCCACCATGCCATGAAAACTTTACGGATAGAATCTGTGTGATGGTGAATAGTTATTGCAAAGATGCTCATGAAATAGTCCCAAATAGATCTAACTTTGGAGCAATTGAAAAAGATATGGTCAATAGAATCAGATTGAGTCTTACAAAGAGGGAAAATTGAAGGATTCAACACCATTTGAAATCTGCAAAGATTATCAATGATAGGAAGAATATTTTTGAATAACTTCCATTGAAAAAGCTTAACTCTATGGGGTAATTTAGGGTGTCATAGATGCTTGTAGGAGAATGTTGTGTGAGTTTCATCTTTAACCACCTCATAAGCAGAGTTAAAATAGAACCTGCCAATCTGCCTTCAATCTCTGGCTCCCAAAAGAAACTGTCGTCTCCATTTACCCCACACAATGGATTGGCCAAGGTAATTATAGAGCAAATTCTCCTCCAAATGGGAGAATCTGTGATTTTAGGCTCCAAATTATTACCTCTAAGATATCTGGCCTTGATAAATCTTGACCACAAGGAATCTCCAGTCTTCCATTTCTACCATAGCTTGATGAAATGCCTTTTCAATGTCAGTAAGAGCCTTGATTCCTAGACCTCCCTCCTCAATGGGGGAGCATAAATATGACCATTTTAACCAATGATATTTTGGTTTATCATTAGACACTCCCCAAAAGAAAGAGGCCTTTTTTGCTTCTAAGATTCTCACAATCTTTTTAGGAAAGGTATCCGTTGTTAGGACATGTAAGGGGATAAAGTTTAGGACATGCTTGATTAAAATCAAACAGCCTCCTTGAGATAGATTTTTCTGCTTCCAAGTAGTGAGTTTAGAAGCAAATTGATTAGTGATGTACATGCAATAATCAGCTCTGTTTATTCCTTTATGCAAGTTAACCCCCAAATATTTAACTGGAAGATCAGTCACTTTCATTCCTAGGAGTCTTTTGATAGTGTGGATTCTTGGACCAGTATGCTTGCCACAGAGGAAAGAGCTTTTATGCAAGTTCATTGTTTTCCCAGAAGCAGCTTGGTACATAGAAACATAAATCGCTGAAATAGCCGCGAACTGCGTTCCGAACGCTCTGTACCCAAACGCGGTACGAAAGCGTTCCAAACGCTCTCTGGTTCGCGTTTCCGATCGCTTACAAAATCGTTCCCCATCGCCTAACCAGGTCGTTCCCCATCGCTAACCAGGTCGTCCCCCAAACAGTCGTGGCCGGAGAAGAGAGCACGTAACCAGCCGGAAATAAACCAAGCCCATCGTAATTCCACTTGCCACCTCCTGCCCCTGTCGAGCCCCGGCAGCCCCCGGCGGCGTCGGCAGAAGGCTTTGAGCAGCGATTGACAGTAGCCGGAAAAGTGACGAGCACCACGAACAACGAAGCATCCAACCTAACGAATCTCTGGCGAAGTACCAAATCCGAACCCAAACTCTGATAGGTAGTCCCACCGTTCCTGTCACACTCCCCGTGAGGCCCAGGACCCCTTCCGTGCAGCTATGGGCTTCCTGGGCACCACCCCACACCTGTAGAATCCCGCTACAACCATTCCAACCCAGCGCCCGGCCATTACTGCCCTCTACTGCGGACGCCGGAGACCTTCGTCCTGGAAGAGTGTGGGGGGCAAAAGGATGGGACGGTGACCAGTTCGCAGGGCTCCAATGCGAACCAGCCCTCAATCAATCCAGATTTTTGAAGGCATCTCCTTTGTTAAGTCAAATTCCATGCAAATACGGGTAATAGAGGGTCGTGAAAGGTTAACAGTAGCAATGTCTAGCTTAAGGGAGGATCCAATAAGCTTTGCAATCTCAAACAAAGCACTTTTTTCATGAAAATGAATGGGAAGCCCTTCAAAAGCAATCCAAATGGGAACCATAGAGGATTCCACGTTGGGGTAAAAATCAGGAGTAGGGATGGACCAAACCGGCCCGGCCCGGCCCTGAACCGGCCCGGCACGCCACTGTGCGGGCCTGGCCCGGTCCGGTTAAGGATAGGACGGTGCGGGCTTTGACCCGGCCCGTGGGAGGGGAGCGGTTCGGGCACGGTTCTTAAAATTGGAGGTCCGGCCTGGCCGATTCAGGCCAACGGCTATTTTTTTTAAAAAAAATCTTTTGGCCATCCAAACAGGCCTTAGAGCCGTTGTGATTGAACCCAAACGGCTATATAGCCGTTGGGAGCCTTCCCGGGGTCCCGGGGTGGGGGTGGGGTTGGGGGTTGGGGGGGTGGGGGTACAAAACATCTATAAATACTTCATTTTTTCTATACAATTTACTACACATTTTCTCCAAATATTCCTACTCTCTAATCTCTATTCTATACTAATCTTCTCCATCTTCATCTTCTCAAATTTATAACTACACATATTATATTATATTTACATATATAATCATCTCTAATTTATTTACTTATATTTACATTTTAGATATACTTAATATATACTTATATATATTAAAGTATTATACATAAGTGTATTACTAATCTTATAGTAATATACTTATATTATATATACTATAAACATAATATTATATATTACTAATTAATCTACTTATTATCTACTTATGAATATATATATATATATATATATATATTAAGTATATCTACTTATACACTTATTATCTAATTGTTACATTTATTAATTTCCTATCATAGTAGTTAATTGTTACATTTATTAATCTCTTATCATAGTAGTTAGTTGTTACATTTATTAATCTCTATAAAAACTAGGTAATTGTTAAACTTGTTTAATAAAGTTGTTAGATTGTAAAACAAATAGTTCGAATTTTGTTAATTCGAAATTAATTATTTAATTGTTAAATTAGTTAATTGTTACATTTATTAATCTCTTATCATAGTAGTTAATTGTTACATTTATTAATCTCCTATAAAAACTAGTTATTTGGTAAACTACTTAATTTGAAATTAATTGTTTAATTCTTAAACTTGTTAATTGGTTCATTTATTAATCTCTTATCATAGTAGTTAATTGTTACATCTATTAATCTCCTATAAAACTAGTTAATTGTTAGTTTGTTACATTTATTAATCTCTTATCATAGTAGTTAATTGTTACATTTATTATTCTCCTATAAAAACTAGTTAATTGGTAAACTACTTAATTCGAAATTAATTGTTTAATTCTTAAACTAGTTAATTGGTTCATTTATTAATCTCTTATCATAGTAGTTAATTGTTACATTTATTAATCTCTATAAACCAAGTTAATTGTTAAACTTGTTAAATAAAGTTGTTAGATTGTAAAACAAATAGTTGGAATTTTAGTTAATTGGTAAAATAGTTAATTCGAAATTAATTGCTTAATTGTTATTCGAATTTAATATTTGTTATATTTTTAATATGGAGCGTGGTAGAGCTTCTGTAGATATGGGTAACCTCCGCCGCAACCGAACAAAGGAGATTGCGAGGAATCATCCAAGGTCACGCAAAGGTAAGGGAGGGCTGGGGTCTTCAACTCAAACCCGAGATGATTTTGATGCGGATTACAACCAAAGATATGGGGATGCGATGTCCGATGAGCAACTAGAACAACTATTGCAACAAAATCAAGGAGGTTTTTTTCATCAACAAGACATCCCGCAAACCATTGACGAAGAAGAGCTTGAGGATGATGATGCGGAGGAGAGGGATCCGCGAACGGTCGAGGACGAGGTTCATGGCACACCGGATGATGAGGAAGAGGAAGCGGAAGTGGCTACTTCTTCCCAAACCGGTGGGAAATCTGAATCTGTCTTTAAGGCAAATTTTACAAAAGTTAAAGACCTCGAAACCGAGATATGGTACGCCACTTGCAAGCATTGCAACAAAAAGTATAACTTGGGAATTTCTGGAGGGTACAGGAGCGCCACAAGGCATCTTAAAGCCAAACACCCGGCGGAATATGTGAAATCGGACAAAGACAAGGGAAAGCAAACACAAATTTCAAGGTTTGCAACTGGCCAATCCTTTAGTAATTTCTCCTATGATGATCAAAGACAATTGACTGATATGTCTCATTTAATTGTTGAAGAAAATTTGCCTTTTATTTTTTCTGAAAGTCTTGCTTTAAAAGAATATGCTCAAGGTTCTTTAAATCCCCAATTTCGAAACTATAGTCGCAAAATAAATAAAAAAGAAGTTATAAGGCAATATGTTTTGGAAAAGCAAAAATTACAAACGTTTTTTGCAAACTTTGATGGGCGTGTTAGTATATGTAGTGATATATGGGAGGATACTCATCATCATTTATATTATTTGGGTTTGACTGCACATTATATTGATGATGATTGGTGTATGCATAAACATATTCTTGCTTTTCGTGAATTTAATGATAGACACACCGGTGATAATATTTATATTCTCATTGAGCGTATTTTAATTGAGTATAATTTGATTAATAAGGTGTTTGCAATTGGTTTTGATAATGCTACTAATAATACTGTTGTTATTCCTAGATTGCGTGAATTGTGTGGTTCATCTTCTTTGATGGGTAGGTTTTTTCATCAGCGTTGTGCATGTCATATTTTAAATTTATGTGTAAAGGACGGTCTAGCGGCGTTGGGAGATACTATGGAGGTGGTGAAGGGGGGGATTAAACTTATTTGGGCTAGTTCTCAACTTAAGATGCAATGGAGAAATTAATTGAAAGAAAGATGTGTCAAATATTGTGCTTTTCCTAAAGATTTGTATATTAGTTGGAATAGTACTTATAACTTAATTAAGGTGCTTATTAGATTTAAAAATCATTTTCCTGCTTTTTTAAAAGAATATGCTAACTATATTATAAACCCGGCCGACATCGACACTTGTGAAAAAGTTTTGAATGTTTTGGTGTATTTTAATAATGCAACTCAAACTTTTAGTCATGTTTATAAACCCACTGCAAACCAATTTTTTGTTGAAGCTGTTAATCTCGCCGGCGCTTTTTGTGAATTTGCTGATGCCGCTTACATTAGTTATTTTTGTGACTTCATGAAACAAAAGTTTTTAAAATATTATCCTATATTCCGCATTTATATAGTATTGCATTTATTCTTGATCCTCGTTTTAGACTTGTTGCTTTGGAGCTATGTACGACGACAAGGCTATAGACCCGAAACAACAATTTCAAGAGGTTAGTAATTTATTATATCAATTATTTAATGAGTTTCATGCACAATATGGTAACGCACCCCCTCTCCCGCCACGAACATCTTCTTCATCTAAAGGAAAATCAATTTTGAAATCTGCATTTGGCAATCTTATGAAAAAAAGTAAATCAACTCCGGTTAATGAACAAAGCTCGATCAACGAGCTTTCTTTGTATCTAACATTTTCTGTTGAGTATGAAGAAGGGGATGACTTTGACGTTCTTCAATGGTGGAAGGAAAAAGAGAAAATGTTCCCGATCTGATCAAAGATGGTTAAGCAAGTGCTAGCAATGCCTGTATCAACAGTTGCTGTGGAACAAGAGTTTAGTGCGGCCGACAACGTCATAACGGATTATAGAACGAGATTGAGCGCAAACTCTCTTGAGACGCTTGTTTGCTTCCACGATTGGTTGAAGGCCAAACGTAGAACTCAAGAAATTAGCATTGAACCCACCAGCCACTTTATGGAAGAAACAACTGAAGATGGCGGAAATTCTGATTGATTCTTATTTATTAAAAAGTGTATTTCATGTTGTAATTTTTGCTCAATTTCCAATTGTACTACATATTTCAAATTAATACAGTTTAAATTTTTTATGTCCAACTAATCTGAATTAAAAAAAAATTGCCCGGCCCCGGCCCGGCCCACAACCTGTCCGGGTAGACCCGACCCGGACCGGACCCGGTATCACCTCGAGCCGGTTCCGGGCCCATGATTCTACAAAAAAAGCCCGCCCGGGCCCGGACCGGCTCGGGTCCATCCCTAATCAGGAGTCCATTTTGTGACTCGCATGGAGTAACCATAGATATCCCAAACTTGATAATTCCAACACCTTAGATAATCATCTTCTCTATCAAATCTGATCAAAATATGTTTTTTCTCAAGAAGACCCAAATGAAAAGAACCTTTGAATCCATTACCTCAAAAGCTTTGCGTAATTTCTCCATACTTGGACAGCCTTTGAAAAAATACCCAATGATATTCTTAAGTATCGGCAGTCATCTCCCTTTCAATACACCTTGTAATATAAATTTATTTATATAAATAATTAAGGGGGAATTGGACTTTGCACCCACTTTATTGAACAAATTTGACTTTGCACTTTGTTTAGAAAAAACATTTGTTTTTGCACCCTAATACTAAATAGTTTGTTAGTTAGAGTTAAAGAAATTTTAAAAAGACAACAATGCCCTCGAGTAAGGTGATACTTTACGATACTCTTACAAATTGTTTCTTTAGCATGCTACTGGAGCAAGGTGACATGGAGAAATTTTCTTGTTCACATTTCTCATCTGTAGATAGGGGTGGGAAACACCGAACCGAAACCCGGAAACCGACCCTAGCCCGGCCCGAATGATATTCCCAGTTCGGTTTTTTTCTATTTAACCAGTCCGAATAAAAAAACCCGGATCGAACCCAAAAGTTCGGGCTCATAAGCGGGCCCTAAAATCTATAACCCGGCCCGGACCGATAAAAATCCGAAACGATTAGCTTTAATATAAATCAATATATTATACAAATATAATATATAAATAATTCCTAATATAGGATTATAATCACGGTGGATGAAAACATGACCTAGTAACTCCGTAATAGTTTTTAGAAAACTTATATTATTTATTTATATGCATCTTAAACAAAATATTAAGATAATTATCTTCTTTGGATTTGAATTGTTGGTGATTTTGGAGACTAATAATTGTGTTATTATTTGCGGCTTGTATTTTTGATTAGTTTTATTTAAAAAATAGGTTTTAAAATAAAAAAGACAATGATATGATTTCACATTTGGGCTTTAACCGGCCCAACCCGAACCCGGTCTATCAAAAACCCGACTCGGACCGAACACAATGGGCTTTGTTCCGATCCTTAACTTTCATAACCCGAGACCTTCCGAGTAATTTCCGGGTTTAGCAAAAACCTGACCCAGACCGGACCGATCTCACCCCTATCTGTAGAGCAGACTTATTACTAAGGTCCTACTTGCTTGGTTCAAGTCATCAAAAAATGCACCAACGAATTATTACTAATGCATTAGAGACAACAAACTTTCTAGTTCACCTGGAGAAAATGCAACAAGTTACTAATGCATAACAAATTGTTTTAAAAAGAAAAAAAAAAAGAGAAAAGGGTCAAATAAGGCCTTCTACTATTACGAAATAGTCACATAAGGCCATGTACTCAATAAAGTGTCATATAAGTACCTCTACTTGTATAAAGCAACCAAATGAGTCCTAACGGCTTAGTTAAAACCTCCTAATCCCGATTTTAGCTTACATGTCGATTTTTTTATTTGTATTTTAACCAATCTTAGTTAAATATTCGACATATGCCGTATAATGTATTCTAAAAAGATGGTCATAAGTACGTTGAAACCGGGATTAAGAGGTGTTAAATAGGTCATTAGGACTCATTTGATTGCTTTTTTGAAGTAGGTGTACTTATATGACACTTTATTGAGTACATAGCCTTCTGTGACTATTTCATAATAGTAGAAGGCCTTATTTGACCCTTTTCTAAAAAAAACTATCAATTACTCGGCACCAAATCAAAGAATGAAGAGATCTACCTGCACAAGCAAAGTGGTCTAGGGACCCTTATTCATACACATCTCATTTATATCACCAAAATAAAAGCTAAAACAACCAAAAATTTGCACTAAAAACAAGAAGCTGACACATCTCATTTATATCACCAACTTTGTCATCTTTCCTTTTTGGGATGTCCCAAAAAACTTTGCCACTTTCCCTTTTAATCAATAATTTTGTGGGTTCTGTTATTTATCTCTCATCTGCACAAACCTCAATCACACAATTTTTACTTTATTATTCTCCGTGCCGGTCAACTTTGGCAAAATTTTAAGGGACAAAGGGTAGTATATCATTGTAGACAAGGGCATAGCTAGGGGAGGGCCAACCCTGGCCCCGATCAAGCCTAAATTTAAAAAATGTCTGTATTTTTAGTATAAAAAATTTCGTGTAATTTTTTTTCCAAATATATTCTTTATGCCAGTTCAGTCTGACCCAGTGTCTTGGCTCCACCCCTGATTGTAGATTGAGCAAAAACACTAGAAGTACAATCAATATAGCTCTAATTCTAGCAAAAATACAGAGCTATAACTAATTCTAGCAAAATATAGGGAGCTCCAAAGTCAAGATTTTACAGTGAGCAAAAATACTACCAGCAACAAAAATCGTTCATCTTTACACTGAGCAAAAATATTATAGTTGTGTTTAATAAACTGCATGTACTAGGGTGATTTTAGTATGACAAAAAACACTCCAGCTATAGTAGGTCAAAAAGCACCATTAAATTCACCTATGAAGCAGCACTTTCTCTTCTGGTAGCCCTTCCATGCTAATAGCTGTTAGGCACACTCATCTGTATTTACCCTTTAAAAAGCATCCGTCCAAGCCCACTAGTGGTCTACACCCCTTTGTCCAACCATCTAGGCTAGCCCTAAAAGCTACACACAAGTATTTGAATCTTTTCTCAGTATCAAATTTCCATGCAACCAAACTGCAAAGATTGGAAGCTTCAATCTGTCTGCACAGTTCTGGGACCTGAGCATAACTTTTTTCATAATTCCCATGCACCTCTTCTAATGCTAGTAGCCTCGCGTGCCATGCTTTCCAATAATTTATGTTTATAGTCCACCCAGTGGCGGAACCAGGGGTGGGCGAGCCGGTGCCAGCGCCACCCCTTCGCCGGAGATGTTAGGGTATAATTTTCATAGCGCCCCTGGTCGTCTTCTTCCTTGCCCCTGCTGCTTTCCGTCGATCTGTGCTCCGTTGGATAATGGATGACTTCAAAGGGTTTGTTTTTTACCTGACCATACGACGCTGTTTTGTTAAGTTTTAAAAAAAAGTAGAAACGACGTAGTATAGTGGTTAGTGGGGTTCATAGGTACACTTTGTTTTTTATTCTTATCAGTTATCAACTTATCATCCCAAAAGCCGGACCAAAGGCCTAGCCGTCCAAATGCTAAAATCTGAAATACTACACGTATGTAGTTTAGCATGCCATTAATATACTCCGTGCAGTTTTAGGCTAACGTTTTATCCTTTTATTTATTTGCTTTAAGGTTTTCAAAAACCTTTTTTTTTGGAAGAGGATTTAAATTTTTTAAAAAATTGACCAATAACTTATAGCTAGTGTATTACATAATATTATTGTTTTATCTACTATGTACTTGTGTAAATAACTTAAGTAAATAAAAATGAGCAATAACTTATACCTAGTACGGTGTAGTATATTACATAATATTATCAATGATTTTTATAATCTTATTACTCCTTCCGTCTCATTCAAAAGGTTTTCACTTTTTTTTCGGCGTCTCGCTAAAAGGTTCTCATTTTCTTTATTAAAAAATTACGGAGTATTAACATTCTTAAATAACAAATATTAAATTAATACATTTATAACATCACATTTATCATCAGTAACTCATTAGCTCATTATATATCCAAATTCAACAAAACTATTTGTCAAAATATACTCGAATTAGCTTATTTCAATATTGTCAAAATAATTGTGTCATTTTGTAATATGAACCTTTAAACGTACAGGACGAAGGTAATCTTTGTTAGCTTACCTCTGTGTAGTTGACCCAAAAAATGTTTGGGAACAAAGTTTAGATATTATTGTTGTTAGATTGTGTATGCTTAATATCTATATCACAATTGTATTTTCTCATACTTTTTTATACAATTTCAATATTTTGAGTTTTGAAGAATTTCTTAACCCGCCCCCCCCCAAATATTCTTCTGGTTCCGCCACTGAGTCCACCTATTCCAAGCTATTGCAATTATATCTCGAGGTGTGTAACTCTTGTGATGCAACTTCATGTCTTCAGCGATCATATCAGCTATCCATCTAGCATTAATCCCTGTATTGATGTTACTACCATCATTTTCACAAGTATGTTCCTCTTGGAGAGTCTTAATTTCAGCCGTGTGGCCATCATTCTTTCTTTTAAAATAACACTTCCAAGCACATCCTACACCTCAGTATGATCTTATCTCCACATTTTTTCTAAAACCAAACCTCAAACTTATTCTTAATGGCATACATCCTCACATACTTCCTACAGGTATCCATTGTGACTCACAGTTTTCCTACTGCCAACAGTAACTCGTCCTCCCATTTTTCAGATTCTGGGGTAGCAAAACATTCCTCACTACATTGAAATGATTTGTGTGTAAAACCACTCAACACAGTACCTATTTCCTCTACATTTCTTGTAACATTTCCTTGTACTTTTTCATTGTCACCCCCTGAACCTCATCATCACTTGAGAGCTCATCTCCAACATAGCTTACATCATCAGATTCATCATCCGAGTCATTCATATTATAGCCATCTAATCCATCAAGAATTTCCTCAAACTGAGTACCTATAGACCATGTAAGAGTTAACAAGCTAATTAAATATAGTTTTTTTTATTATAGACATTATAGTCATCTAGTTCATCATGAATTGTCTAAATATAGTAGATTTATTAGTAACAAATCTGAATAACCAAATACAAACTAAGTATACCGCATTTAATTAATATACCTTGATTATATTTGAATGCATCACGAAGAGTTTCAAAATTTGCAGAGTGAGCCAATGGAGGTAGTTCAATATATATCGGCAAAGTCATCATTAGTAAGTGGCTGAGCAGCGTTATTTTCTTGAGATGGTCCCCTAACTGAAATGACATATCCAAATCCAATCTTAAGAACTTGTTCCAATTAGTAAAAGAGAGTCTTCATATCCAAATACCACAAATTAATTAATTATTGCAATTCTTTTGTTTATTACAATTCGTACCAGAAAAGTTTTAACAAGGCTGGTTGTTTCAAACTTGTGTGTTTACTATGCTCAAGGGATGGATTTTAAAATTGATGGATCACTAAAGTGCACTTTAAGTCCCAGAGTTGATTTTAAAGTTGAAAGACGAATTCTGCACAGCAGATTAAAAAAAGAGGCTTACTCCTCTTAAGTCATGCCGCCAGCAACCTAAGACCAAGGGGGGGGGGGGGGGGGGGGGGGGGACTAATGAGACCAAAAACTTCTCCTGCTGCAATCTTTTTCAAATTGACAATAAGAGTGTCGAATCACTTACTAGCTTCTGGTAAACAATCAATCTTTCTCTTCACGGTCAATTTCTTGGATGTCCTCTCTAACCTTTCTGTTGGTGTTGGTGCAGGTGCTTCACAATCCAGAAATATCTCTTCGTATTCTTCCCAGAGCAAGATGTCTGCCATTTATCCGCTTCTTCTATATGGGAGCTCATCGTTTATCAAAACTCTATTTCACTCTACGTACATTAGTGTTGCTCAGAATGATGACGGTAAAGGAGCTATTCTTTTGATAAGGGCATTATAGTATTTTAGAAACAATTCTAGCACCGTTAAACGGATTTGTAGCGGAGAGGGTGGAAAAACAAATGTTTTTCAGAACAGGGTTCAAAGTCAAATTTGTTCTATAAAGTGGGGTGCAATGTCTAATTCCCCCAATAATTAAATATGACTAAAAATTACTCCCTCGGTCTCCCAATTAAGTTACCACTTTCCTTTTTGGGCAGTCCCTAAATTAAGTTCACACTTCCTTACTTTCCTTATTTGGCAAATAATCTACATCAAAACAGTGCAAAACAATGTCAAACAGTGTTTGAACAGTGCAAAACAGTGCACTCCACAATAAAGTCAAATTTATTTTCTTAAAACGTGTGAAGTCAAACCGGGAACTTCATTGAGGGATGGAGTGAGTATTATAATAAGTGGCATGGTCATTTAAAGTATCACATTTATATCATCATTCTTTAAGTCATAAATTATGAAGTATTTCAAATTTAGAGAGAATTAAAATTCCCCCAATAATTAATTATGACTAAAAATTATTATAAAAAGTGGCATGGTCATTTAAAGTATCACATTTATACAATCATTCTTTAAGTCATAAATATGCAACTATTTCAAATTTCAGAGAGAATTAAAATTTATACTCGCATTAAAGACATGATGTGCACTATTTGGAACAGGAGAGTTGCTATCACTTTAGATAATACTCATCCACTTCATATTTCCTTGTGCAACCACACCTTTTAGCAAGCATGTTATCAAAGGAGAGTTATACTCTAAAAGCGTTGGGAGCATCTTTGGAGGTAGTCAAGGGGTGATTAGACGTATTTGGGGTAATGGACAACTTAGAAAAAGATGGCATGATTATTTGATAGAAAGAGGTGAGAAATATGTGGCTTTTCCTAAAGATTTGTCTATTCGTTGGAATAGTACTTATAAGTTCATTACAGTTCTTCTTAGATATAAACAACATTTTCCTGCTTTTATGAAACAATATGATAACTATATTATAAACTCGGCTGAGATCGACACCTGTGAAAAAATGTGTAATGCTTTGATATATTTTAATAATGCAACTGAAACTTGTAGTCATGTTTATAAACCTACCTCAAACCAATTTATTCGTGAATCTGTTAATCTCGCCGGTGCTTTTTCAAATTTTGAGAATGCTGATTATGTGAGTTATTTTGCTAGTTTTATGAAGGAAAAGTTTTTAAAATATTATTCACATATTCCGCATATTTATGGTATTGCATTTGTTCTCGATCCTCGTTTTAGACTAGGTTCTTTAGAAGAATGTTTGAATTATTATTATGCTGCTTTTTTTTGGTCCAATGCCAATGTATGAGGACAACCCAATTGATCCGAAAAAAGAATACAATTAGATTAGTGATATATTTTATGCATTATTTAATGAGTTTCATGCACAGTATGGCAACCCCCCCCCCCCCCCCCCCCCCCAACACAAACATCTTCATCTAAAGTAAAATCAATTTTAAAGTAAAATCAATTTTGAAATCTACATTTGTCAATTTTATTAAAAAACGAAATCAACTCCCGCTACTCAACAAAGCACAATTAATGAGATTTCTTTGTATTTAACATATGATGTTAATTTTGAAGAAGATGGTGGTTTTGACGTTCTAAACTGGTGAGAGGGAAAAGAAAGAATATTCCCGGTTTTAGCAAAGATGGCTAAGCAAGTGCTATCAATGTCGATTTCAACAGTTGCCGTGAAACAAGAATTTAGTTCGACCGGCAATGTCCTAACGCAATGTAGAACAAGGTTGAGTGCAGAATCTCTTGAGATGCTTATATGCTACCACGATTGGTTGAAGGCGGCCCGTAGAGCTCAAGAAATTGATATCACTCCATCCCAACACTTTATGGATGAATCTACAACCGAGGGTGGCTCTACCTATGTCAGAGATTCCGATTGATTAGTATTTCATGTTTTAATTTTACCTTCAATTCTCAATTGTAACTTGTAAACTTGTAGTTCATATTTACAATTTACAAAATGTATTTCATATTGTATTTTCTTCTTAATTGTCAAATGTAGTTTCTATTTCATTTCAAATAAACGCACTTGAAATTTGTTTTTAATACTTCAACCGATCCGGCCCGGCAGGTACCCCGACCCGTGACCCCGGCTACCCGGCCTGAATCCACCCTTGTCTGTAATACTCCATCCGTTCTTAAATAATAGTCCTTTGAGATTTATTGTGGTTTTTAAGAAGAAATTAGTAAGGTTAGAATAGAGGGTATAAGGTAAATGAAAAGGTAGGAAACAGAATATTTCAGGTGAATATTTCAAGGGAAAAAAGAGACGAGTAAAAGTAATAAAAAATGTCCCAGAGGGGAATAAGATATGGTTATTAGATGACGCAAGGAGAATATTTTTGTGAAATTGATATAAATGGAATATTTTGCAACAGTTCTAATGAATTTAGAGTCATCCAATGAATTTAGAGTCTTTGGTTCTAAATGTAAAATCAAGACCCCACACTAATATAAAATTGAAAAAAATCTCAATGTAACTACTTATATATAGGGTTGGATTCGGTTCGGGCCACCCGGCCCGTGACCCGGCCCGGCCCGGTACTGTGCGGGCCCAGGACCGGCCCGGTCGGGCGGTCCGGGACCGGGTATGGGCCCGAACCGGGGGGAAGGGGCGGGGCGGGCTCGGTTCATCATTTTTGTGACCCGGCCCGGCCGGATCGGGCCCGGGTCCGGGTCTATTTTTAAAAAAAAAACTTTTTTTTGTTTTTTGGCTACTAGCCGTTGAGGCCTTGGGGGTGGGGCTGGGGACAACCCAAACGGCTATATAGCCGTTGGGTGGGGTAAAGGGGGGGTCCGAGGGGGTTGGCTGGTAGGGGGGATGGGGGGTGGAGGGTAAAAAAACCTATAAATACTCTTAAACATTTTTTCATATCTCTTCTCCAATTCTTCCTAAATCCTATTCTTAACTCTCTACTCTCTAATTCTCTTATTCTCCAATATATTATATATCTACTCTCTAATTCTCTTCTTCAAGAAGTTAAGATGGAAAATTAAAATGCCATTATACGGTATAATTTTGATAAGCAGAAGGACCCGAAGACCGGGATGTGGTACGCAATTTGCAAATGGTGCGAAAAAAAATGTATCATGGGGGCTTCAGGCAGATTCGAGATGGCAATCAAGCATATGAAGTCATGTGACAAAGCCAAAGGATCGGGAGGTGCGGAAAGTTCCGATTGATTACAATTTTCAAAATAATTCTCTTAAAGTTTGTTTTAATTTTCAAATGTAGTTCCTATTTCATTTCAAATAAATGCAATTGAAGTTTGTTTTTAATACTCGTATAAAACTATAAACTATAAAATATAAATTATAAAAAAAAATTAACCGGCCCGGCCCGAACCGGACCCGACCCGTGACCCGGGCGGGTGGCCCGTCCCGAACCGGACCCGTCCAACCCTCGGGCCAGTCCCGGGCCCACTTTTCTTGAACCGGCGGCCCGACCGGGCCCGACCCGGCCCGAATCCATCCCTTCTTATATAGTTATATTCAGATCAACTGAATACTCATTAAATAATGTAATAAAAAGATCTTAAAGTTACTTAATACTTGATTTAAAGCAACACAACTCATTACTCAAAACAATTGAGTAAAAGAAGAGTAAAAGGCCAACGAAACATCAGTATCAACAAAATTATAAGAATAATATCTTGTCATCCTTTGCACTCATTTGGCAATGTAATTCCCAGTGAGCATCGTCGTCATGTATACCACTTACTAAAGAGTTCTAAGAGAACGGCAGCAGCAGAATCCTTGGCTTTCTTCACACTCGGCATAGACTCTCCAATGCATTCATCTACCCATCCTCTATCAGACGTATTTACACGTACTGCAAAGGTAAATCTCTTTGCGTGTGCAGGACCACCCTGATGGACACACCTGGAAACCCTAAATATTTCAGTTCTTGAACAGTTCAAAATAAAATCTGTAGCCCCGAACGGCCGAACCCAAGCGCCTATGAAGCCTAAGGTGTTTGGTGGAGAAATCACGGATTCTCTTATAGCGGTTGCATTTACACATCTAACCACAAGCAGATCATGAACAGTTCAAAATAAAATATTTCAGTTCATAAACTGTTCAAAATAAAATATTTCAGTTCATGAACTGTTCAAAATAAAATATTTCAGTTCATGAACTGTTCAAAATAAAATCTGTAATCCCAAACCCAAGCGCCCATGAAGCCTCAGGTGTTTGGTGGGAAAATTACAGGACATTACTTATGGAGGCTCTTATAGTGGTTGCATGTACACTTCTACAGTTCTACCCACAAGCAGTTCATGAACAGTTCAAAATAAAATATTTCAGTTTATGAACAGTTCAGAATAAAATATTTCAGTTCATGAACTGTTCAGAATAAAATCTGTAATCCCAAACCCAAGAGCCCATGAAGCCTCAGGTGTTTGGTGGGAAAATCACAGGACATTACTTATAGAGTCTCTAATAGCAGTTGCATGTACACTTCTACCCACAAGCAGTTCATGAACCGTTCAAAATAAAATATTTCAGTGCATGAACAGTTTCAGAATAAAATCTGTAACCCCGAACCCAAGTGCCCATGAAGCCTAAGGTGTTTGGTGGAGAAATCACGGGACTCTTAGACTCTACTCAGGGAGTCTCTTGTAGCAGTTGCATGAACACTTCTACCCACAAGCAAGTTCAATTAAATTGAAACTGCTACTCAAAGTGAGCGGTCATAACATCAGGCTACGATCTACTACTAGAGATAGCCCGAGGGGAGGACATTCAATTCGGAGTATTGTGGAGTTCGATCCTAGCAAGCCAGGGCAAAATAAGGGAAGGCACCTAGTACAAAAGCAACAATCTGACAACAACTTACCTATACAATGGCAATGGCCAATTTCTACGTAAACAAATATCATTCAAGGTCTGTCTCGTAAATGTGTGGCTGCCAATGTTCTTATGCTCATCATCTTGACCCTTGTTAGCTTGAGCAGCAACAGCCATCTCCTTCAATGCAACAAGGGCATTCCTTGCAGCCAGTTTTTGAGCCATTTTTTTTTGAGGATTTTGAGCTATTCCAACCTGGACACCATCAACATATACCTCAACAGTTGCTATATTTCCATTTCGATACGCTTTATACTCCAGGCCTGCTGCTTGATGTTGACACCGTTCTTGCAGTTCACGAACTGGATGCATTGGAAGTGTATTTGGAGTAACCATTGGATGCAACAATGGCTGAAATACCTGGTAATTGATGTATCAAATCATAAATAGATGCATATTACAGCTCAAAATCACTACTCATCCATCCCCAACAAAAGTTGTTTCCTCTTTCTTTAAAATATGAGCCTAATAAAAACTAACCCTCCACACGGCTGCTGTGTTACAGCCACTATCAAGATAAATAGCCCCTGCAATTGATTCAACAATGTCACCAAGAACCTTGGGAGCTTTACAATCCCCTAAACCAAAAGAATTGATCTCTGTTTTTGACAGTTCATTTTGCACTTCCAAAACAAAGTCTCGAATCTGGACCATGGCAAAACAAAACAAAGTTTTCCAATGAAATTCCACAAGAGCAAACATCATTATATACACACCCTCTTTTAATTCTTTATAATAAAAAAATACTTTATAAGAATGACATCAAACCTGCTTTTCAAGAGCACTAGATCCATGACGGAGGTGTATGTGAAGGTTATGTGTAACAGCAACACGTGCAAAGTTTTCATTGTTTACAGCTGCAGCTCGCAGGTCAGTCAAGCGTCCGGGGGGCAGATCTGTGTAGGTGAAGAACAAGTACTTGGTGATAAGATGGTCCAATACTGCATCACCAACAAACTCCAGTCGTTGGTAGCAAGAGACTCCAGCAGACGGGCGTGAGGCATGTGTAATTGCTTCTACCAGTAAACCTTTCTCATTGAACCTTATGTTCAAAGCACCTTCAAGTGCTTCAAAGTCAATGCTCCTCAGTATGTTCTCAGGAACGTTACTGGGCACAATCTCTCTTCTCTTAAAGTCACTGGAATAAAAATCGATCTTAAATCCAATCCATTTCATGAAGTGGTTCGCTGCATGCTTTCCACCTTCAACATAATACACGCCAATAAGTGCTTCCACAACATCAGCCAGAGTTTTGCTAGAGAGAACACGATATGAACTTGAATCATTCTCAAGCTCACCATCTTCCATCTCATCTCCACCATATTCATCAGTACTATGAGACATTCCTTCTCCACTTTCATCATCGAACAGCGTTGATTCCCCTTCACATGTGTCCTCGTCAAACACAGGTGGAACACCAGGAGCAGTCCACCTTGACGGAGAGAACCGGTCTGCTTGGATATATGACTGCAGTTCCTTGGCCAATGCATATTGATACAGCATCATGTTACTCACCATTTGCTGCCTCATTCTTGTTAGTTGGCCTTCGTGTTTTTGGGGAAACTCGAGGAAAAGAAACCGACTAACAACCCATTTCAAATAAGCATCCCCAAGAAGCTCTGCTCTTTCATAACAGAATGTCTCTTGGCAAGAAGCAGCTGTCAATGCTTCCAGGATCTGTGAAATTAATAACTCTCAATCACCACTCACTGATCTAAACATGAGAGTGATTTGTAATTAACTGATTGATCCTGGCTGGGTTCACCATTCATCGTTTTACCTTTGAAGCAGGGACACAGTTGCTTATGATATCTTTAAGCTGCACGGCAAGCAGCATGCTTTCAACTCTCCTCATCACAGATGGCAATCTTTGGGCCCCACGAACCAGTGGACCAGGAAGTGGATGCAACAAACAGAGCTCGGGGGGTAAGAAAACATAATATGTTTTCTCATTGGTCTCTTCATACTCACTATCTTGAACTTGAATATCACATTTAAATTTTTTTAGTCCAATGTGAACTAGATTGGCATAAGAGAAAACCTAAAAATAATACCTTCGGAGTGTTCGAAGCGAGGGGAAAGAAGGTTCTTGCAATATGAAACACCACGACATCTCAGTAGAGGCTGTTGCCGATATAACAAATCAACTCCATATCTGTTATACAAACCAAACTGAACAGTATAATGCAGTATATTTGTACTCAAATAAAAAGAATTGTTACAATCAGAATTTTTTAACTGCTTGAAAGAGCAGCGAAAATAGAACAATGACGAAAGTAGTTTTGCATTCTCAGAAAGAAGAAAGCTAAATGTTCCCACTTAAAAAAGTTTAGTTGGTCCTTCAATGAAGGGGACTTCGTTAGAGTACGACTCAAGTGAATTAGAGACATCCAGTCCTCAAAGATGAAAGCAGGAGTTGAATTATTAGTGTTCTAATTGTGTTTCGTTGTTTGAAACTGCATAATTGAGTAAATACATGCAAAGTAACAGAAATTAACCACATACTTCAGCTTATAGTAATCAGCATAAGTTCTGTACTCCAGGGGACCCAGATATCCTTCTTTCCTTGGAAATAAATTGTCAGCTGTCATCTCATCCCGAACGGAATCAACATAAAATCTTTTTCCCGAGTGTGCTGCAGTGACGATCCTCCCAATCAGGTCTTCTGGCCTTGAATAACAGTCAACCATCACTAGGAGGTTATCTCTCGATTTCACATCATCAGGTATTTTAACGGTTAGAGATTTAGGAACCAAACCAGATGCTTTCACCACATCAAATCGTGCCACAGCACCTCTAATGCCATACGTAGGATGGGACTTCATCGCAAAAGCAAAACCATGCCTCAACTTACCGAAACCATATTCTCTTCTATCCCCACCAAGTGCTCTCTCATTGGTGCCAAGGTAAACATCAGGTCGAGCTCTTTGCAGGGGATTTCTCCATGCGTCTGTTTTACTTATACTTTCAACAAGTTGCCAATCAATATCTTTCCCAGATTCACCACCAGAAACAGGAACAAATAAATATGCCTTTGCAGCATCCCATGGTGTGGTGGATGGCTCAACATCAACATCCAATACAATGCTCATTAGTCTCACATGAAAGCTCTTCAGTGATGCTAACTGACACATTTATAATAAAATCAAATAACTGAATATTAAAGTTAAGAGCTGATTGATAATAAGGCAAGCCAATAAATAATGAGCTTTTATCAACCTGAGCCTCTGTAACTTCTACTGATCCTAGGAAGATAAGAGAAGCTTTTGTTATCACAGTGCGAGCAATAAATAAATCTATAGACATTGATAATACCTGTAAGACAAGAAATTATATAACAGGACAGATTGAAAAAGACAAATATGTGGAAGCAACCACAACAATAATTGGATCAAGGTGCTAAAAGGGGGAATAAAACCTCTGCATCCAGCTCATTGCCAAAGAGCACAGCAAACTCTGACACCTGAGTTAAGAATGGGTCTTTTGAGGAACCAACATTTACACATTTTACAGCATACATGTACAGATGGAAGAATTTCGAGCTGCTAGAATGTTCCTTCCCTAATAAAATCCACTCTCCCTACAAAGAAAATGTGAATCAAGTGAAACTCATATTTTATCAACATTAGGACCAACACTAAATCTAAAATGGATGATGGAATGTCGAATGTTTGTGGCACCACAACCAAATACCACTCCAAAAGTGGTATTTGGGTAATTGTGAGTCAATGGCCTCTATACAAGCAAAAAAGAATTGAGAACTAATCCAGCAGAGGTGAGATGGGTAAAACTTAGTCCAACAGCACAAAAACATGAAACCGGTCAAAATAAATTTTGTTCTAGTGTTTGGCATTTGGCTGAAGCCTAGAGTCAAGAGAAAGGAAACTCATACAAATTGCATTCCAATGACATCAAGTAGTACTAACTCCTTCCCGGCTTAAGCTTTTCATTAATAATAGCACGGTTATTTAGACAATAATTAAATAAAGTCATTTGAGTATATTTTGAGAAGTAGTTTTGATAGGTATATAATCTAATGAGGTCATTAATAAAAACTATGTTGCTACAAAGTGTTTTTTTAAATATGATGATTAAGTTGTCATTTAAGAGTGAATTATTTCCTCAAATAGAAATGGGTACCTTTAGCTGGGACGTCCAAAAGAGACAAGTGAGGAGCTTAAGATGGAATGGAGGGAGTACTAAAGTAGATTTATTCAGAAATTGAATTGGTAGGCTGGTACTACCAACTTGCAAAGGGTCAAATTTTCATAGCGCTCACAAATTACATAAGGTTCCCCTGTAAACCATTAACCATCTAGATGCATTTATTATCATAACAATAAACTCATATTTAAATTTCTCTAAAAAGAGAAATAGAATAGCACTACAAAGGAATCTTGGAATTTAGCCGTAAATGAGCAAGTTGAAGCTCCATCAGACCTTTGAAGGAACATTTGTAGTACATTTTCAAAGGAGACTATTCAGATGAATTGAAGTGCCAAACTAGGATGAGGTGTAACGAACCTGGAGAATCTCAGCAACACCTTCTGGATAAAACTCCCTGTGCTTAGCCAATCCTGTAAGGGTATCACCTTCATCACTTTCCTCAACCTTTTCAGATTCTGTTCTACTTCCCTTGTCTGGCAAGAGCATGTCAGTCAAGGCTCCCATCTCATGGAGCTTTTTGCACGCAGCCAAACAAACTGCCTATACAGTTTGTGAACAATATCAAGTAATATAGATGGAACTTAATAACTAAAATAAGGCAACAATTATAGCACCTGTTTGGGAGATCATATCAAGTAATATAGATGGAACTTAATAACTAAAATAAGGCAACAATTATAGCACCTGTTGTGCAAGATGAGTGGAACTACATATAGGACCATCAAGTCTATCAAATGGTGCATTGCAGGGGAGCTGAAGCCTGCACGAGTATTCCATTGGTGCTCCTGGCTTCTCAAGACGCTCCATTATAAACTCAGGACGAAGAATGGAATACCTGGAATAGAATAACTTAATATGAATTCATGTCCGGTAAACAATATCTAACATGCATAAAAAGAATCGGACAATTGCTTTTTAATTCAATTTGGGAGATCATCCCATAGAAAGAAACCAAAACACTTAGAACATGCTCAGTAAACACCTTTTATGTCTTAAAGTGTTGCTTTAAACTTTTTCATATTGGCAACTATACCCCTCCTTGGATCCCAACGTTTGCAATTGCGCCTTATTGCGCACCTTGGCCACTTCCAGGAAAATTGAGTAAGATTGCATTGCAAAAGGCGGATAGGCTTGGCGCGTACATTCCAGGGCGCAGAGGCGTACACAATTTAACATGCGCAATGAGGCGTCCAGAGGTGTACGTCAAATTAGATCTGCTATTCTGCTGCGTAATGCTTTCTTTGGGCTCATTCAGCCAGTTTTTAATAAAAGACTTAACAGAGGCCTCAGTTATTCGCAACATACATGTATTAGTTTTCATTCTTCTTGCTTCCTTTCAGCGACTACAGAGCCTCCTCTTCTAAAGCTCTTCTTATTTGTTTCAACTGTTAATATTTCTATGGTACAGTGCCTCCTAAGGTACTGAGCCTCCTCAGCTTCGTGTTAATATTCTTCAACTTTTATTAATTTCTTCTTATTAATATTTTATTATTTTGCATCGGTTGAGTTTCTGTATATTAGTATATTCTTTAAGTTTTTAAATTTAATATCAACTTCAACTTTAATATTAATATTTAGTGTTGTATATAATAATTTAATAGTAATAATAATGTCAATATTCTTCAACTTTTAATGCTTTCTGCATATTAATATTTTATTATTTTCCATCTATTTGGTTGGTGCACATTAGTATGTTTTTTCAGTTTTTATGTTTGATGTTAACGTCAACTTTAATATTAATATATAGATTTGTATATAAGTTAATACAACCTCCGTCCCATAAGTTGTTACTAATATACATGTAAAGTGAGCTCGCACAGTTAGTTAAAGTCTTGTTAGACATGCTCTTATAGGCTCACCTGTAATTAGTTAGCCTAATGTGTATATACTTCATGTACCTTACTCATTTGATAATAATGAAAATCTCTTGTTCTTCTAAATCTTCATCCTACTTCATCTTCTAATACATATGCATTTGGTGTGGGTTTAAAGAAAATAAAGGATAAAGTGATTGTTTTACAATTCTAACCTCCAAAAAGTAAGAAAGAGAAAAATGGATCCACGAAAAATAGGGTGAAATGATAGGTAATGGGATAAAGAGGGAAAGTAAAAAGTTAGTGGTGTCCAATTTAACAAGGTGTTCATTTTTTGGGACAACCCAAAAAGGAAAGTGTATCTTACAAAATGGGATGGAGGGAGTACTAAATTTTAATATTAATTTTCTGTTAATATTCAAGTAAGCATCAAATATAAGCTTGATGAAGGTAATACTAACATTATGTTAACATATTGTTCTTGTTGTTAATTCTGGAGTATTATACTAGTATATATTAGCTACAAGGTTAATATTATTATACGTATAAACTTTACGCCTCAGGTCTACACCTCATTGCGCAATGAGGCTTACGCAATGTGCAATAATAAAAAATGCCACAACTACACAATACACAATTATAATCCTTGTTGCATCCCACAAAGAAAGTTGTTGTACCCTTACCCTTCACTACCCAGCGAACCCCACCCCTGCCCCATTCCTACCCCCACCCCTTCTCTTCCCTTCCCCTATCTACCCCCCACACCCACATCCTACCTCTACCGCTAGCTCCTACCTCTCCTTCCCCTCCGTATCCTTCATCGCCATTGGTCCTTGTAAATCGATGGCTTTCTTCTCTTATATTCAAAGCTTTAAGGGCTAAGCTTGCTGCTGGGGTTTCATTTCAAACCTGAAAGAGCTTGGCCTTGAGCCTTTATACCTTCCTAAATCAATTCCCTTTGGCCTAGGTCTGGGATTGATCCTTTCTCTTCCTCTGGTCTAGTTAGTGACTTCGCTTCCTGCCCTGAATTAGGAGTTCTGGCTTTGTTAGCCATGCCTTTGAAACCAAGGAAAGCAGTCATCAAGCCAGAGAAATGCATATCCGACCCCCACTTTTTTAGTTAGGGATCGGGTAACCTATTAAGGAAATTCCTCCTGTTTCCACATTATTATAGAAAACTGTCCTCTAGACTATGATTTCCCCTGGCTAAGAGAAAGGGGAAATGGCCTGATCTATGCTTATGCTCTTGTCTAAGGAGTCCGCAGACTGCTTTCTTGAGAAATCCATGATGTGAATCTCTCTTTCTGCTTGTGAGCATAATGCGTGCTAGACTAGCTCTACTACACTCCTAACCCTGCACCCCACCCCAATACCCACCCACTACGCCCCTACACTCACCGCAACCCTACCCTATTGATAAGCTAGAATTTGTACATCACTTTTATATTATTTTATTACAATTCTTTTTTTGGATGAAAAGTAACGATACATGTGTCAAAAATAACTATCTAAGCAAGTAAACTAACTTAAGATAGTAACTACCGTTCACACACGCACCCCCTACCCCCACCTCACGGCAAGGGTAAAGGAGAGAGGATATTTTGCAAAGCAGTCCAATACAAATCAGCAAAATAGTTACACAAAATATCAAATATTGGGCTGCAAGCCACGGTCCCAATTAAATTCGTCCCTACTAAATGCCTGGTCAAAACAGCTGCAGCAAGTCCCACTATCAGCCAGCCCATCCAATCCACCTGTAGCTCGGCGAAGTAGCGAACAGCAAAATCCCAGCACAATTGTCCTATCAGCATCTCGCCATCCTCAGCCCATCGGGTAGAGCCCAGTTGCCAGCGCCACAACAGCAGCCCATAAGCGCTAGGGTTAGCCCATAGTATGAGGCCCAGCATCGTTAACTCTCAGCGCCGCACAGAGAGGCGGCAAAATTCAAACGGCTACAGTGCAGCGACAGGACAGGGGACAGCGGTCCATTCGCAGACAGGCTATGTCAGCTCGTCGTTGAGTGCTCCGACTGTCACTCCGGCGAAGCTCCGGCCATTATTTCTGCAGCCCAGAAGTCCAGAAAGCCACGCTTGCTCGTAGCATGTAACCTCTCCACCAGGCTCCGGCAGCAAACCCGGTGGCAACGGCGGAGGATAAACAGTAACCAGCCGGATACAAACAAGCCAAACCAACCCCCCCCCCCCACACCCCCATTGGACCCCGGCAACCTCCAACGGCGCGACGGTAGACGGCATCAGAGGCAGTAAGACTGTAGCCGGAAACATGAGTAGCGACAGGTGGTTCCAACCCCCAGCACGGCGGTGGTCTTCTCCGGCGAATCCTAGCTGCTTTCAAAACGAAACCAATCCAAACGACTCAAGAAACCAAGGGAATCAAACCGGGCAATTCCGTATTCAGGCCAGCCCCTCCCGGTCATCTTCCCCGACAGCAATCACCCAAAACCGACGAGGACAAGTTACTCTCCACCGATGATGAGCTCCCTTATCGTTCACAAACCCAAACTTCCCCATTCAACACTTCTACATCGCCTACCCTCTGCAGAGTCCACGTATGTAGTTGCTCTGGGCCGGTTTATTGTCGGAGTTGAAGGTCCTTCCAGGAGCCACCACCTGCAGGTTTTGCTGTCAGTCAGTCAACCCTGGAGGGTAACATAGTAATCAACTCCAGCGACCAAATTAGATCTGTCCGCCGGTGAACGTCCAGCCATGAAGAAAACCAGACCCCCAACTAACCAAACAGATATCCCAAAACCATCCACAGTGAACGGCGGACAATAGGAGCACGACACCAATTCCAGTCACCGGTGGGAAAAATCTCAACATGAAAGGTGGAACCTGCCGGAGCGCAGCACAGCCCAGAGTCTCCGTGATAGAATCCTCCAGAAGTTCAATGGAAATCACAGAAATTTATCAAAAACAATTCAAAGCTTTATTGAATCAAGAACCTAACAAGAAACTATGGCCGAAGCCCCCCAAAAGCCAAAGCTCCCAAAGAAAGAGATTATTAGTCTCAGTCTTCCCAAGTCCCAAGACAAAGAGTCTAAAAGCCTTCTTACTACTTCCCTTTCCCATCTATTTATACTAGAGACCCTTATTACTAATATTATTATTATTACTTCTAATATTATTCTAATAGGTAGGTCCCTAACAATACTCCCCCCCTAAACATCCACCTTGCCCTCAAGGTGGTCGGTAGGAGACAGCCCAGATCTTCTGCTTCTTCTTCTTCTTCCTTGCACCTCTTCATTCCCAATATCTTTCAAATGTCAGGATCCTTAACTTCATGACTTGAATCTTCCTTCACACTGCTTCTTGCAAAAACAGCATTAGCTCCTTTTTCTTCCAATCATCAATACTAGGCCTGTGTCTTGGATCATGCTGGTACTGATCTTCACCCACCATCCCTTGCTCACTATTACATGTGCTAATAGCTCTTGCTACAGGATATAACTCAAACCTTTGAGTTTCAGTTGCTTCACTCCTTGAAATTTCAGCATCTTCAGTAGCCAACTTATTTGAGAAGGAAAACCTCAAAGGTTTTAGCAGGTAGGTAAGGATATCCACTATTCCAGTTGCATTTCTCCTAACTGAAGAACAGGAAAGCCTATTATCCATGCAAAACTTCCAAAGTAGGTTTTCTTGAAGATAGACAGACTCTTCATCAAAAGAAAACAATTCACTTTTCAAGCCTTGTTTCAGTTTCACCTGTCCATTTGCTACAGCCTCCCATCTATTAACAGTAGCCTGAGTAGTAGGATCCCAGGCAATACTGATTTGATCCAACTGATATTCAAAAATATCAACAACATACTTCCCCATCCCTTTCAAAAAACAATGGTGCTCCACACATTGTCCTCTTTCCAGTTCATACCTCTTTTCATGAGTATTTTGTGTCTTGGATCAATACTTGCCATAAGAGACTTGTAATCAAAACCTACACTTCTATCTTGAACAGGTATACAATCTACTGGCAGTCCCCTGACCACTTCACTAACAATTTC